CCCCCCTTCCCCTCCAGGTGATGGGGGGCTGCCTTGTGCATGGCTTTGCTTCGGAGCCGTGCTGTGCCTTGGGAGCCGATGCGTGCAGCCCACCACAGCCCCGAATGCACCGCGGGTCCCATGGGTGAGAGGCACGAGGGGCCTTGGGCATCCCTCCTGTTTCTCACCTGAAGAAAACCATTCCCATTAGCTCCAGCATTTCTGAGCCTCTGTGGCTCCAGCTTGACAGTGCAGGAGGATGTTCTCCCCAGCTTTGCTTCAAATGCTGCATTAAGGCCTCCTTTTTCACCCTTTTTTCCCCCAAAAGAAGGTTTTTTGCCTGGATTAAGACTCCGGGTTCATGCCATGCCAGCCCCTCACATCCCTGTGAGACTCAGCCTGGTTTGGGCTATTCCACATTAATTCCCCCCAAATCCACCGAGCCCTCGGGGCAGCTGGTGGCCGTGGCAGGGATCCAGGGAGGTTTTAGCCTGTGATCCCAGAGCCGTCACCGGGGTGGCATCAGGACAGTGCTGGAAGGGATTTGTGTCAGGAGACAGGAGGAGGAGGGGGGACGCGCTTCAAATTAGTTGTTAGTTCAAGGGAGCAGAGACTATTGATGCAGGGGAGGCTTCTTCAGAGGGATTAGCCCTGAGTTGCTGCAGCCAGAGCTGATGCTGCCAGGAGCAGAACGGAGGCTCGTTTCTAAGGGCTGGATGAAGCACTGTCGTAATTACACAGACACAGACCCCCTCCCCCCCAAAAATAACCTGCCCCTTGGTGCTTTGCAACCCCCACGAGTTAAAATTCCAGCTTTTCTTGAGAATTAGCTCTTGTGAAATGCACAGCTCTTCGTTTTGCTGACTCAGCAGGTGAGCTCCAGGAGCCTCCCAAGGTCCCCAGCAGCTGCATCTCCATCCCCTGCATCTCAGGGGTGATCAGGGGTGGCTGCCTTGAGCCCTGGGAGAGCTGGGGAGGGGAAGCAAAATGGGGTGCAGGCAGTGATGGATGCTCACAGCTCTGCACTCCAGGCTGGGCTTAGTGCAGGATGAGCTCCTGCAAGGCTTGGCTCTGCCTTGGCCTCCCTGGTTTCACTAGTGGGGAGTAGGTTTTAGCCCTGGCACCCCCCCAGGACCTGGCACAAACCCTGTCACTGGTGCAAAATAGGTCAAAAAGTCATCAGAGGTTTAAGCTGGGTGTAGAATAACCTCAGAAAGCAGGGCCTGCTCAGCATCTGTGTGTTCCTGCTGCAAAGGGAGGGCTCCAAGCAGGCTCCCATCACCGGAGGCAGCATCCTGATGTGCCACAAAGGAACATTCCATGCCCTAAAGTCATTTGGGCTGGTGACATTCAGGTGCTGGCTGCTTCGTAGTCAGGGCGTAGCATCTGGCTCCCCCACTAAACCTCCGTGTGCAGCAAAGGGACCGAGTGATGCAGTTGAAGAAGATGCTTTTTCCTTTTTAACCAGCTGGGTTGGTTTTGTGTGTGACAAGAACTAACCAGCCTCAGCACCCGGGGAAGCTTAACAACAGCCTGGTTTGCTCAAGAGAGGCCTTGGTGTGGCTTCTGCGTTTGGTGTTTGGAATTGCTTTGAGTGCAAACAGGGATCCTGGAGGTTTGGCTGCTGTGTGCATCTTCTCCCCCACATTGTGGATTGATGTGCAAGCTGCCTTCCCGAGCTGTGCCCTCCCTGGGGGTCGGGGGGACCTGGGACCATGCAGCTGGTGGCCTGGGTTGTGCATCTGGTGGGTGCAATGAAACAGAGGCAGATGAAAAGCAAAACTCCCTGCAGCTGGTGTATCAACCTCTTGGTTTCATCAAGGCATTGTTTAAGATGCGGTGCACAAGGGGTAGCTTTTCCCTTCCTTTCCCTTGTGCACGTACTCCGATGGGTTTGCAGTGATGGAAACCCATGATGGATTGATTGGAAGGTGTCCCTGCCCATGACAGGAGGTTGGAATTGGATGATCTTAAGGTCTGTTCCAACCCAAACCATTCTGTGATTCTGATTTATTCCCCGGTGCCGCTCCCGGTGTCCATGCAGTGCCCAAGCCACCTTCCTCCTCCTGGCTTTGCAGCTCCTGGCAGGAGCAGAGGGATTCCAGCTCTCCCCAGCAGTGGGGAAAGGTCTGGGAAAGGCTGAGCCGGGTCCCTGGGACCGCGGTGCCGCAGCGCAGGCTCAGAGCCCGCGTCCTCGGAGCTTGGCTGCAGCCACAGGATCTCTCTGAAGGACGGGATGCCCTTGAGAGGCTGGGGGGGGGGGTTTCCAGCAGCGAGATGTGGGTAAGCACCGTCCCACTCCTTCCTCCCAGCCTCCTCTCAACCCCCAGAAGACAATCACCCACCTAGGAGCAGGTTTCTGGTGGGGAACAGGCCCCCATCATCCTGCAATGGCGAGATGCTCAGCTCCCTCTGCCCTCACCAGTCCCAGCTCCAGCCCCACGATGGTCCCATCCGGCCCTGGGCTGCTCTGTCCCTCCATCCCTGAGCAAATTAAAGTGGGACTTTAGCAAAGCCCCTGCTAAAGCCTCTAAGCAGGTGCCTGCTCCTGTTAACGAAGAGCGAATCAGTGACATAAGACAGACACTGGGATAATCGCAGGGAGTCTGGCTCCAGCAGGGACACTGGTAGGTGAAGCTGGTCCTCAACCTGCAGCCAAGGATAGGGCTTGAGTGATGCTCCTGCTTCCCAGGGTCAGCTCCTCCTTCCCAGCAGCTCCCAGAGGTGCCAGCCCGCACTGGTGATCCACTGCCTGCTCTTTGGGAGGGCTCTTCCCATCACACAGGAGAGATTTAGATTAGATATTAGGAGGTTCCTCCCTGTGAGGGTGCTGAGGCGCTGGCACAGGGTGCCCAGAGGAGCTGTGGCTGCCCCATCCCTGGCAGTGTTCAAGGCCAGGTTGGACACAGGAGCTTGGAGCAACCTGCTTTAGTGGAAGGTGTCCCTGCCCGTGGCAGGGGTTGGAACTGAATGAGCTTTGAGGTCCCTCAACCCAAACCATTCTATGATCCTGCTGGATGAGGAATGCCCTCGGAAAATCCCTATGGGCTGCTTGGCCTCTGCAGTGGGATGAAGGGCAGCACCGAGCTTGGCTGCTGTCGGTGCTGGTGGGGCAGAACACTGTGCTGCTGCCCTGAAAACACAGCGGGCAAATAAATCCATCCTGAAAACGAGACCAAAGCAACTAGATCAATTTTCATGTGTCCAGTTGCTCCTTCTGGTCTTCCCTGGTGGGTTCCAGGCTCCGGTGCATCCCTCTGAGCTGCCAGCACGGGCAGGGTGCAAGCACAGCGGTGCAGGTCAGCAGTGAAGTGGGGCTTTGAGGGGCTGTCCCCCCTTTTTCAGCTGCTGAGATGCAGGGTCAGGCCCACTCTTGCTCAGAGCTTGCAACGTGAGGAACTTCACCCCTGCTGCCCTTCACCCCTGCTCTCTGTTCAGTCCTCAGTGCCGGCTCCCAACTTCGCCATGCCCGTGACGGTGCCGGTGACCAACCAGAACACGCTGCAGTT